AAGCTGTTGTCAATCAACGCCAGGGTAAAATTTGAAATGATTTCCCTTTATTTTTAGATCTAAAAATTAAGCACAAAATTAGATCACAAAATTAATATTGGAAGAATTTTCATGCTTGCATATAATGTTGCATATGTTTAGGCGAAAATTTTCACGAGAGTAATATTAGTGTTAGAGCACTTAAGTTTTAATGATATTTACATTCTGAGCACAGTTCATTAATTACAGTTTTTTTTTTATATGTACCAAAATTGTTGCATAAAAATGAAATTCAAATAACAAGTTAATGTGGTGTGTTTCAAATCTAACAACAAAAACAACAATTTAATCATGGACCTTGTTTAAATTTCATAAAAAAACTATTGCAAGTTACGCAAAATTGAAACAAACAAATTATTAAATAGTATTGACCTATACAAATTTAATAAGATTATTAACTAATTTATTAAGGGCACAAGTGTATCTTTTCAAATAAGATTGTTGATAGAAGATCAATAGAACCTTAAATTTCGAAAAAATTTGGAATAAAATTTTGGAATTTTATAAAATTTGAGAAATAGTAACACTATGGAGTAAGCCGAAGTAAACAAAAAAAAAATTTTTTGTTTCAATAAAATATTTGGGGGGTATCTGTAAACTGTTCAAACTTCAGGTCGAAACATTGTGTGGAAAAAGAATTACTTTCCAAATAAACAAAAAATTTGCTTCAGTTTCGTTAATTTTAACGACAAACAGTTTCTTGTTTATATGTAATGGTTCATGAGCTTTTATGTGTTGACAGAATCAATAATTGTTTATGGTTTGAATACAGAAATTTGGGTACTGTTAATTTTTCTCAAATGTAATTAAATTATTTTTGAAATCATTTATAAGACTTACTTGAATTTACCATTAATAAATTGAATTTTGTGATAATTTACGATATAGATAATTTACTGTTACTGTTATTGTTATTGCGATGGTAAATATCATAAAAATATAGGTTTTAAAAATTTAAGGAATTTTTTGAGTAAATGGAAAAATAGATTCGGGAATAAGTGGTTTTCAGCAACTCAAGTTTATAAATTTAAAAATTTAATAATATCACGTGAAAATATTGATTAATTTTTATAATATTCAATTTACAATTTATTGCTCTACTTCGGAGTACTTAGTAGTATTTACACAAGAAAGAAACCAATTTAAAAATATTCTAATGTGAACTACATTCAATTAAAATATTTTGTATCTAATTGCCAATATCTTGTATCTAATTTTGTATCTAAGTTATATTGACACAATGTCAGTTTTCGACAAAAAACGCGTTTAGTTCTTCACTTGTCCTTCAATTTGTTTCATTTAAATTTTCTAATTTATTTGTTTCTAAATTGCGTTGTTTGTTGCTAACAATGTTCAAATCTAAATTGAACACTGTAATTGACCCATTTCTTATTCCCAATCGATTTTATTGTTTACAAATTTTCTACCCTATAATTATCGGAAGCTTAAAACGAAATTATTTTCATAACGGAAACCTTAAAACCTCAAGCACGGTTTTTACAATAATATGATAGATTTATTGATTTATGAAAATTCCCACAATATTTTCAAACCATTACCAAATTTTTTTTTGTCCTAATTTCGTTACAAAGGGATATTATCAAACTTAGAGCCACTTTATGTACAAAGCCGACATCGCAACAGTAAATTTAGTTTTTTTCTTTTTTCATTCATACACATTATTCAGTAAAAACTAATTATTCTTAATAAATACGAATTTATAATATACAATTAATTCATTAACATAAAAAATTAATTTTATTTACCGCAATAAAAAAAAAAATTAAAACCTCAAAAAAATTAAAAATATTTAAAATAGCAAAAATAATGGCCTAATTTCCCCACAACAATTCCTAAACAATGATAATTGTACCTATCGAATATTTAAAATTTTTAGTATTTTATAGTAAACAGGCGCCAATTTTATTATATGCGCATGAAATTAATAAAAACCCATTTTATTTTTGTGTAATAATTCCAATGAGTCACATAGAATTGAATAAAATTTAATGATGTAGGTACCTAGTTAAAATTTTATGCATTCACTAATTTCATTTAAGTATAATTCTCATTATAATGTATAGTAAATTATTTCTTTATTAAATTAATTTCAAAAAAAAAATCTTATAACTTATTAACTTATAATTTGTAGTGTGCTTCGCAAATGGATTTTAAGAGGTTCTATGGTCAATTCTTTTTTCAATTAAAATACAATATTGTCATTTACTCCTTTTTGACTATCAACATATTTCAATGTCAACATAAGACATGTACTTCAAGACGATTACGATCTACAGTTTTGACGTTTTATTGTCATTGTATTAGAACTGTTGTAGAATGATAGTGTAACTTAATAAAATATTAATTTTTACGATAATTTCTCTCCATTTACGATAATATGTATTCTATTCTATTTATTTTTTTTTTCGAAAATTTAATACTATCGTCATAGTAAATTTTATTCGTGATGCAAACAAAAGTCAAAAATATTCGAACGAACTTTTCTAACGTATGTCAGAGGCACAAATTTAGAAATCACTATCTTATTTTTCATCTTTTTTTTGAGTTAAATACAAAAATTTTTATTTATTTCTAAATTTTCAAATGAATCTTTTCTTCTCAAAAATTTATTTGCTTATACTTAGTTTTGTATGTACTTACATGTAAATTAATTTCAGAATTATTATTGATTTTATTAAATTCATTATACTTACATAAATAGTTCTCAAAATCTCACCGTATTGCTAAAATTGCGACTATTCATCCGGTGTAAAAACCGATAATTATTAAATAATCAATATGTAAAAATCTGGTAGAATTAATAAATGAAGTTTCCAGAACCAATGTTGTCATAGTAGACTTATAACTGCTATGTCAAAAATTTATGATGGACCTTTTATTTGTAGAAATATAGAAGTAGATTTCAGCTTAGTGTAGAGATTATAAAAGATCAAAAGCTTTTAAAAATTCTTTCTTTAAGAGCTTTCAAATTTTGTGTGTGACTTGATTTTATTTTTGTGACGTTTTTGATTTTTATCAATATTTTCGAGTTTTCGAATTTTCGAAAATGTCACATTTTAAATGATTGACCATTACAATTGTACATTAAAGACAACGCAGTGTCCAACTTTATGGGATTTTCAATTTTATGTTAGAATCTTAAAACTTTACATTCATAGAAATTACCGCAGTTCAACATACAATTTCAAAGTGTATGTTATTTTATTGCTTTGTTTTAAAATAATCGACATATTTTTCAATATATATATATATATATATATATATACATATATATAATAACAAAATGTATTTTATATCTTAGAAAATTTGTATAATATTTTAGTATTTTAACCGGAAACTACTATATAAAATAGGGAAAAGATGTTCCCCTAAAGAAAATTTCTCCAAATTTAGCTTCCTAAAATAGAAAATTCGTAATGATTCTTTTGTCACCTATAAATTTTGAAAAATTTGTATTGCATTTTTTATGATTTTAGGGTGAGAATTAAATGTCTTTTAGTTTGATTTCACTAAGAATTCTAATATTGAATTACTTAATGAGAAAAAGAAAAACATTTTCTATATGCCTCAAATAAAATTCTTTTTTAATTTGGTAATAAAATTTTAAAAGTGGGGTCCGAATACTTAAGGTATCATAAAATATTCTAAAGTAGTATGTTTACGAAAAACTATTTTCACTGTTTACATAGCTTTCTATTTAAAAAATAATAGTAATTTAAATATGTTAATTTTGAAAAAAATAAAAAATATTGTTGTTATTGGGTGCTTCCTCAGAAAATATTAATCAATTATTAATTTTAGAGAAAATATTAATAAATAGTTTGTAATTTCATTATCAAACACACTGTATTTGATATTTATTATTTTCTAAATCATTTATAACACGGAAATCAATGAAAAATTATTGATAATGTGAAAATAACGTTTTAGAAAAATGCTTTCTCATTTTACCGTACTCTTACATACTGATAATAATGCAAATTTTTCGTAAATTGGATACAACAAATCTTTGTTTTATCAAATAACGCAATTTGATTCCCTTCTCTCTCTCTATTTATCTCTTTACATCTTAATTACAATTTATTAATATCAAAAGTAATTCAAATCATTTTTGCTAAATTTGGCGTAATTATCGAAAATTGGGCTAGTTTTAGACAATCGGGTAAAAATTTGATTGGGTAGGAATATGAAATTATTGTATTGATGTAAGTTTTAATTTTCCCAATTTGAAAAAAAAAGTTATTTTTTGTTTTAATATTGTCATTTTGTGCACCTAACTTAAAGTATTTCTTCTATTAATTTAAGATTTCTTCAGTTTTTATAATAAAAGCATTAAGAACAGAAAAGTTATACTCATATTTCATTGATGAATTAGGTCTAGTTATAAAAAATTCCAGTGTTTAAATCTTCCTTTGAGTAATCTTATATTTTTTGCTTTTGAAAAATTTGCTTTCCACCAAATATTTAAATTGGAGTCATGACGAATGCCAAAATTATGTTTAGGTTCCTAATATTGTTATAATTTTTAAAATTTGTCCGTTAAAATTGTCTTATTGGAGAATATTTTTTCATAATAAAATGATTTTAAAAATAAATATGTAAACATATGTATGTTTAATATAAGTATATTTTATGGAATATTTTCGAAAAGTATATATTTTTTTATTACAATATTTAATTTTAATTTTTCTTGTTATATTCCGTTAAAAATGTACTAAAACTATATTTAATTAAGTCTAACTAAATTTTCATTGATCGCCATTTTGTTATTACTAACACATACACAAAATACATAAGTGACACCAAAAAAAGCTTTCAATGAACTTTTAATGAGACAAAAAAAATTTATGTATATTTCTAATTTAAAAATTTTAAAGAAAAAATAAAAAATTATTAATTTATTTTTTATTTTCAGGTAAGGAATATTTTATTTTAACATTTTTATTAATAGAAATATGTGAGTATAATTTATTAATCCAATCCAAAAAAAAAAAACGAAATCAAAGTGTTTATGTATTTGTGATTTATTTTCTGTTTTTGATATGAGTCAAATTTTCCACCATTTTGTTAAAGATCTTCTATAACATAAAATGAGCAATTATTAGAAACATAAAATAAACTATTGAGTAGAAAAAACCCAAACTTAAGTCCTTAGTAAAATAAATAAAAAAATATTTTCGAAATTAAATATTTAGATATTATGCAAGGATTATCAGTGTTACCATTCCACCGCGTTAGAATCCAAAATCCAAAATTAAACAAGGTTATCGTAATGAATTTCTTTCGAAGACCAACTATAAATTGCTTTTAAATAGCCGCATTTGAATTATCTAATTACGAAAATTGTTAAACTGTACTAAAAAATCATCAAAATATCAATTAAACATTTGATTTGACAGCACTAATGCAGTTCCATTTTGTTTACGTACCAGTATCAGGTTTTAGAAACATATGAAATATTAGAAACGAACACAATTTGCAAGTTATATTTATGAATACGGAAAAAGACAGAATAATGCAGCAATCTATCATTTTGTTCACTCTGATAACTTTGCTTCAAAAATGTTGCATACTTCTTGACGCAAGAGCTCTATCGCTAACTTTTGATTATTACCATTTTATACTGACTGAATTTCTCAGAATTTAGTAGTTTACCATTAGACTTTTCTCTTTTAAAAACTTTTGAAAAAACATGTCAAATAGGGAACTACTAAAAGCACTGGTTCAGTTTGAGAAGAAAAGTTTTTTAATTTGTCTCATTTAACTTATTCATATGGTTCCATCATCTAACTGTTCTGCAGTTGTGTGAAGAAATTTTCTTTGTTTATTTGATTTTTATAGGAAATTTAACAAAAATGAACAAATATACGTTATTATTATTTCTTTGTTATTAGGTAAATTTTGAGGTTATAGCTTACTGGCACTTTTTTGCAGTTAATTGAAAGGATTTAATTTACAAAGTATTTAGTACATAATCAAATTCGATTAAGCAGAATCATTCAGAATATTAAGAAGCTATAAAGTTTGTGACAGTTTGCCTTAAATGAGTACTAAATTTGAAACTCCAGAAATCCAGAATAACACAATTTAGGAGAGTACCTCATTACTTTTGAAATAAATATTTAACACTAATAGCATAAGAACAGACTTAAAAAAAACATAACACAACATTTAGTGAGGAGCGGTGACGACAGACTCATATAAAGTAAATAATTGTCCTTATGGAGGTACAACATGAACTATCATTATGAGCTGAAAATTTTTGAAATAAAATCCCAAAAGGGTGTGTACGTATACTGCTATAATAACTATAATTATACTGGTTCATTCTCATCGCATTCTAGCAATCCGCAACTCTATGTTGGTCTTTCGTTCTAAACAAAATAAGTAATTTCTGGGTTGAATTTAAAAGAGAAATTTCAATTTTTTTTATTATTTATAATATATCTTTAAAGAAACTTAAAAAATAGCCGAAAATTGAGATAAGCTGCAGTGAAACATTAATAAAATTACTGATGATGAATAATTTCCAAAATATTTCATTACATTTTAATCAAAATATCAATAATTTATTTTAAAATTCGTTTTTAACCGCTACTAGTTTTATAAATCATAACTATGCAAAGCTCTTGTAATTTGGTTAAGTCTTTAAACATGATTGAATTCAAATTTACGATAGACTTTATTTGCATTATAAACGTTAGGTTGTAGAATTCGAAAAGAGTCAATACGATTTTCAAGAATTTTAAAATAAGTACAAATTAATTTTCTAAGAAGATTAATAATTTTGTATGCTTCCGGTATTGTCAAATTGATCATCGACCAACAGATCAATTGTTTTTATTGATAAGAACAATATTTGCAGGTGCAACAATTTTGATTATCGTCAATCGATATTGATATAATGTAGAAACAAGAAAGAAAGAGGCTCATGAATTGAAGAATCGTCACTAAAACTCGGATTCGTAAGATTCCAAATTATTTTTAAAGTATTTTATTTTAATTTTGAAAACTAATTTTATGTGAGTGTGTACATACATCGATTGCTGCATTTTAACTTCTGTTCAATTGTTTGACCATCTGTAGCCATGGTAGAAAAACCAAAAAATTCGAATTAAATATAACGCAAGCCACATAATGCCGGTATAGACACCCACATGAACTACAAATATCGCAGAATTGTAGCTATGTATGTTACATTATGAAAAAAGTTTACTTTGACGTGTGGAATTATAGCTAAAGAACTTTAAATTTAGAATTAAACAATTTTGGCCTTTGTAGCAATTAACCACGCTTAAAACATGAAAAATTAGCAAATTCGTTAGCATTCGAGCTCTTACAAAAAATGTCAAAGAGTCAACACTTAAAAAAGTGTTGCCTATATTCACAGAAATAAATTTTTCATAACAAAATGAAATATGCTATTCGTTGTTGTACATATGTATGTACATCTATTTCATTCCCCTAATATCCCTAATAAAACTTAAAAATATTCTCGTACTTAAAATTAATTTTAGTTTTTGTATCTTAATGTGCTAGAACAAGACTTCTCGTTAAATTTCTTTTTTGTACCTTAAAATTATTCACAAACAGCCAATCCAAAGTAGGTAAACACAAATATTCCGATATTTTTATGAAATTTTCCATGAACTTTAAAATATTTTTGAGTGTGATTTTTAAAATTATACACATACGAACTATGTAAAGAACAGATACAACCAGGTTTTTCTTATTCATATTTGAACACATATAAAAATATCGGTAAAAATAAAGAGAAATTAGTACACATAGAAAAAGCTCTTAAAAAATTAATTTGAGAAAAATAAGAAAAAAAAAAAATAAGAAAAAGATAACCCCTAGCTACAAAAAAAAAAAGTTCTTCATGTGGTGGTCGTTTATTTTTTTTTTTCTTTCTTTCTTTTTTGCATTGTCTACCACGCTAATTCGTAAATTAAACTTAATATTTTTGTCATCTACAGTGGTTCACATAATTTGAAGTATGTAATCGTTAAAATTATATTAAAATTGAAATTGAAGGAAACAAACAATTTATGCGCTTCTTATTATTTTTATTTGTGATTTGGGGTTTTGCAATTGAAATAAAAAAAATATTATATTATGTAGGTGTCATTTTGAAATTTGACACTTTGATCTAATATGTCAACACTCATAATATGCCAATTGCACTATAAAATTATTTGATAGACCCAAAGTCAGGTTCAATGTAATTTTACTATTATTACTTTAATTATATTATTTAATTTTAAATTTAATAAATTTATTATTACAAATTAAAATGTGTAATTTTAAGATTTATGACAAAAATATTAAAACCTCAAATCAAAAGTCAAAAAAAAAAAAAAATTTATCAGAAAAAAATTCTGAAAAATTTTAATATTTTCTGAAATTTTTAATTTTATTTCTAGTGTGAGCCACTGTACGTATTTTAAATAACTTGGTAACTACAAGTGATTTTTTCTTTTATTAATAATTTTCTTACACTATTTAAAAAAAAAAAATAATTTTTTTTGTTTCACATTTTACATTTATAGTTTATCCACAAAGAATTAAAAGCTTTCACACGACGCGTTATTACTCACACAAATAACAATATTCACTATACTTCGCGCTTGCCCCCATCCTTAATATTAAATGAAATATGTGTACAAGAAACACAAAGAAAATAAAAAAATCTTACATTTGTGTATTGCTCTGCTCGTGAAAGAATCTTTCTTCTTTGTACTTTTTCGGCAAATTGTAGGCATTATGTGTTTGCGAATTTTTAATAGGTGTTGGTAAGAAATTTCACAGTAGTACGTACGAGTTTATTGTCTAATTTTAATTTTTTTTTTTTTTAAATCCATTGTCTAAATACTTCCAACTTAAAATATTCATTCAAATTTAATAAAAACAAACAAAATACATGTGTACATATTTTTTTAAAATTTATTTTATTAATAATGAAAGAATTTTGACATTTATATAAGTAATAATCAAAAACCCTTGATTGAAAATTATATTTTTTATGTTAGTTTATTTTTATGTAAGAGGTATAAACGTATGTATGTGTGCATGTACAAAAATTCATAATTTTTTGTAGAAGGCAAAGGAAGGAAGTGAAAACTCATAATTTGTTTAAGGTTTTTTTTTTTCTTTTTCTTTTCTTTCTGACATTTAATTGATTCCCAAAGTGTTAAATATGAACATACATACATAATATATTTATGAAATACACAACGTGTAAAGATCATATCGATCACGCGTATGTATGTTCACACAAACATTTGAATGTGTCTATACTTTTTTAGACAAAATATCCCAAAATTTTTCACAGCAGGAATGACAAAAATATCAACCGCTTCTAAAGTAGCAAATATTTTGTATCATGAATTATGTATGTCCTAAAAAATTATAACACTTTTAATTTAAATTCATTTAATAAATGATAAAGATGACGTTTCGTTACCGACATTACTTTAGCTTAAACACTAATCTAACTGTGCAAATTTATGTAAAAATAATAATCAAAAAATTTAAAAATGTAGTATTCGAGTAGCGTAAATAACAAAAAGAGACCATATTTGCACGGTTTTCTCATAGCACATAAAGAGAATATTTAAAGTTTCGCAAACACTGTTTCATTTTTAGATTAAAATGAAACAAAAGAAACGATGAACAGACGTCCTTGATTTTTTTCAATATGAGTTTAGAGGTCAGTGAACCGGAGGGAAAAAAATATTTATTTTTTTTCCTTTTTTTGTTTTTCATTAGTACAAACTATTAAAATCTCTCGGTACATGAGGTTAAAAAGACGCTTTTTTATTTTATTTTTTGAGGTTATTTTTTTTTTTTGCTTTTTTGTTGCTTCTTTTTTTTTTTCTTTGTTTGTATCTCACTTTTTATATTCATTAATATAAAAAGTTCTATTTAACTTTGTTTGATAAAAACATGGCAACA